CACCTCCAAGTTAGGATTGGCAAAAACTGCCTTTAGTGGCTTTCCACAGTCTGGTGACCCAAATGCATGTGTTCCTTTGTACCCTTCTGCTGAATCCCTAGTGAAATAGTTAATGGATTTTGTAGAAATATTATAGAATATTACCAATAAACCTTTTTCATTTTACAAGTGAGAAAACCAAGGTTCAGGGAGGTAAAGCTAGTTGGTTACACTCAGTGCAAATACAATTATGCCATATGACACAGTAAGTATCAGGAAAACAAAGGGTACTTAGGTTATAATTTCAGCATTGGGGGAAAATGAAAATAATCATACCTCCAATAATAATAATTCTCCTTATTTATTTTTGTCCTTTTCTTTTCTTTTTTTCTTTTTTGTGGTATGCGGGCCTCTCACTGTTGTGGCCTCTCCCGTTGCGGAGCACAGGCTCCGGACGTGCAGGCTCAGTGGCCATGGCTCACGGGCCCAGCTGCTCCACGGCATGTGGGATCTTCCCGGACTGGGGCACGAACCTGTGTCCCCTGCATCGGCAGGCAGACTCTCAACCATTGCACCCCCAGGGAAGCCCTGTCCTTTTCTTTTATCGTCAAATTTACATATAGAGAATGCACATACAATATTTTAAGTGTACCATTGGTTTAATTTTGACAGTTACAAATACCTGTGTAAATACTATGTAATCAAGAATATAAACTATACCCATCACCTCAGAAAGTACCCTAGTTCCCCTTTGCAGTCAGTTCCAACCCAACCCTAATACAACCACGTTTGGATTGTTACTACCATAGATTTATTTTCCCTGTTTTTGTACTTAATATAAATGGAATAATAAAGGGTTTACTTTTTTATTTTTCTGGCTTCTTTAACTCAACACACCATGAGATTCATTTAAATTGTCCACATATACTAGTGTTCTTTTTTTCTTTTTTTTGGATTAAAAAAAACCCAGACATTTATTTTTCACAGTTCTAGAGGCTGGAAGTCCAAGATTAGGGTGCCAGTATGATCTACCAGAAAACTACTAGAGCTAAGCAATTAATTTGGTAAAGTAGCAGGATGCAAAATTAATGCACAGAAATCTCTTGCATTCCTATACGCTAATGATGAAAAATCTGAAAGAGAAATTAAAGAAACACTCCCATTTACCATTGCAAAAACAACAAAAAATACTTGGGAATAAACCTACCTAAGGAGACAAAAAAGACCTGTATGCAGAAAACTATAAGACACTGATGAAAGAAATTAAAGATATCACAAAAAGATGGAGAGATATACCATGTTTTTGTATTGGAAGAATCAATATTGTGAAATGACTATACTACCCAAAGCAATCTACAGATTCAGTGCAATCCCTATCAAATTACCAATGGCATTTTTCACAGAACTAGAACAAAAAAGTTCACAATTTGTATGGAAACACAAAAGACCCCAAATAGCCAAAGCAATCTTAAGGGAAAAAAAATGGAGCTGGAGGAATCAGACTCCTTGACTTCAGACTATACTACAAAGCTACAGTAATCAAGACAGTATGGTACTGGCACAAAAACAGAAAGATAGATCAATGGAACAGGATAGAAAGCCCAGAGATAAACCCACACACATATGGTCACCCTATCTTTGATAAAGGAGGCGAGAATATACAGTGGAGAAAAGACAGCCTCTTCAATAAATGGTGCTGGGAAAACTGGACAGCTACATGTAAAAGAATGAAATTAGAACACTTCCTAACACCATACACAAAAGTAAACTCAAAATGGATTATAGACCTAAATGTAAGGCCAGACAATATAAAACTCTTACAGGAAAACATAAGCAGAACACTCTATGACATAAATCATAGCAAGATCCTTTTTGACCCACCTCCTAGGGAAATGGAAATAAAAACAAATGGGGCCTAATGAAACTTCAAAGCTTTTGCACAGCAAAGGAAACCATAAACAAGAGGAAAAGACAACCCTCAGAATGGGAGAAAGTATTTGCAAACGAAGCAACTGACAAGGGATTAATCTCCAAAATATACAAGCAGCTCATGCAGCTCAATATCAAAAACCAAACAACCCAATCCAAAAATGGGCAGAAGACCTAAATAGACATTTCTCCAAAGAAGATATACAGGTAACCAACAAACACATGAAAGGATGCTCAACATCACTAATCATTAGAGAAATGCAAATCAAAGCTACAGTGAGGTATCACCTCACACCAGTCAGAATGGCCATCATCAAAAAATCTACAAACAACACTAAATTCTGGAGAGAGTGTGGAGAGAAGGGAACCCTCTTGCGCTGTTGGTGGGAATGTAAATTGATACAGCCACTATGGATAACAGTATGGAGGTTCCTTAAAAACCTAAAAATAGAACTACCATATGACCCAGCAATCACACTACTAGGCATATACCTTGAGAAAACCATAATTCAAAAAGAGTCATGTACCACAATGTTCATTGCAGCACTATTTACAATAGCCAGGACATGGAAGCAACCTAAGTGTCCATCAACAGATGAATGGATAAAGAAGATGTGGCACATATATACAATGGAATATTACTCAGCCATAAAAAGAAACGAAATTGAGTTATTTGTAGTGAGGTGGATGGACCTAGAGTCTGTCATACAGAGTGAGGTAAGTCAGAAAGAGAAAAACAAATACTGTATGCTAACACATATATATGGAATCTTAAAAAAAAATGGTTCTAAAGAACCTAGGGGCAGGACAGGAATAAAGATGCAGACGTAGAGAATGGACTTGAGGACATGGGGAGGGGGAAGGATAAGCTGGGCCGAAGTGAGAGAGTGGCACTGACATATATACACTACCAAATGTAAAATAGATAGCTGGTGGGAAGCAACCGCATAACACAGGGAGATCAACTTGGTGCTTTGTGACCACCTAGAGGCGTGGGATAGGGAGGGTGGGAGGGAGATGCAAGAGAGAGGAGATATGGGGATATATGGACACCTACAGAGGAATGGATAAAGAAGATGTGGTACATATATACAATGGAATATTACTCAGCCATAAAAAAGAATGAAATAATGCCATTTGCAGCAACATGGACGAACCTAGAGCTTGTCATACTGAGTGAAGTAAGTCAGACACAGATAGACAAATATCATATGTTATCACTTATATGTGGAATCTAAAAACAGGGTACAAGTGAGCTTATCTACCAAACAGAAATAAAGTTACAGATGTAGAAAACAAACTTACGGTTACCAGGGTGTAAGGAGCAGGTATAAATTGTGAGATTGGGATTGACATATACACACTACTATGTATACAGTAGATAACCAATAAGGACCCACTGTAAAGTACAGGGAACTCTACTCAGTACTCTGTAATGGCCTATATGGGAAAAGAATCTAAAAAAGAATGGATATATGTATAACTGATTCACTTTGCTGTACACCTGAAACTAACATGACATTGTAAATCAACTATACTCCAATAAAAATTTAGAGAGAGAAAATAAATAAATAAATTCTGGAGGATGTTGAGGTTTTGAGTAGGTTCACCATCCTGGTACTTCTTCTCTGAGCGTATCCCAGTATAGAGTCTTCCAAATGTCAAAGCGTAAATTTTTCAGGGTAAAGTTTTCAGGTATCTTTTGATCTGTGCAAAATAGAGCAAGCCTGTTGCCTCTTCTAGATATTAAACATCTGTTAGTATAACCTCATAATGCTATTGATTCATGGAACCTACTAAGACAGCTAGTCTTTTTTACAGGTCCCTCACTTTTTTAATATGTCACCCCAAAACTGCACTACTGCATTTATAGAGCTTGTTTTATACACGAAAGCAGGACATTGAAATGTGTCACTATTAAATTTCATCTTTTTAAAATCAGAATCTAAAACCAAGAGGCTACAGAGATGGGCAAAATCTATTTTTCATAATAAGTCATTATCCCTACTGGCTTTGTGTCTACTAATGGTTGGGTAAGCATGTCAGCTATGCTCTCATTTAATTCATTAATATAAGTGATTACTAGAACAAGGCATAAGATAGAGACTCATTAGAGATGTGTTAATTTTGACCTATTAATTAAGACAAAGATAATTTAACCCAATATGTAGCAGTACAATTGTCTGGTCACAATTTATCCCTCTTATGGATAGGATATGAGGAAAGGCTTTGTAAAATGCCACCTAGAAATCCAGTTACACCATTTTCACAGAATACCCTTGATATGTCAGTCTGACAAAATTCAACATAGTCCATCTCATCACCGTACTCCATAACATATCTGCTTCTTAATTTCCCTATTTCTGACAAAGAGGCCCTTTCTCCTTCAGGCCACCCAGGCTTGAGAGTTAAACCATTTTTGATACCTCCACCTCCCTCTCCTCCTGGTCAGTTAATCACGAAATCAATTGTTTGCTCTTCATTATAATGCTCTGCAACTCTTATGTCTCCATTTTCCACTTTTACCACCCTAATCCAGGCCTTTATCACTTCAGACATGGAGCACTGCAGAAGCTTAACGATTTCCCTCATTCTTTTATGTAGTGACAGTGTGAAGAATGGCTCCTTTTATTCCTGTCACTCCCATCTAAGATGCATTCACTCATTTCTTCTGTACACATTTATTAGACATGGGGGGCATGCTTTTTCTTGTCTCTTCAAGGAACAACCTCTTACAATCTCTTTGTAAGCAACTTGAAGGCAAAGATTATAGTATCAACCCCCCCATCATTGTCCACACAAATATTGCACAAATACTGTTTAATAGCTGTACAGTACACAAATACAGTAAATAGCTGTAAACTAGAGATCAAATCCATTGAATCGATTCAGTTATTTCACTTATTCTCTTATTTCATACTTATTAAAGATAGGTAGGGAATTTTTTGTAGCACCATAGTTATGTGAAGATAATTATATGCAACTTTTTAGAACCAAGAACACCACATTGAATTCATCTGGGTGGTCTTGTGGTAAAGTATTAGAAATTTGTCATTTGAGAATCTTCCAAATGTATAGGATACTACTCCAAGCAGAAATCTATTGGCAGACAAAGCACCCCGAGTTCGATACTTCACTTGCAGTGTTAGGCTGAATGGTATTTGGCAGCAAAATCCATCCAGAGACCTCCAGAGACTCATTAAAAGCAGATAGTGCTGAAGCATAGCAAAATGGTTTCCATTTGGACCATGGTGCCAACTTAGATGTATGAGAAATAAAATGATTAAGTAGTTCCTCGCAAGGACATTCATCTAACTAGGCAGTTCTTAAAAACAGTTAATGTGTGTACACTTATTAGGTCAATGTAGTTGACCCCTAACTCCTTTGAACCGTACAACCTAAACACAAGTTACAGGAGAGATGGCCTAATACCAGGCCATGTATGTGCTAGAAAAGTAAAAACAACTTATGTGACTTTAAAGTTGAAGTGCTAGTACATAAAGATGCCTGATTTGTATGACATAAGAAATGAGAATAGTCACTCTGTGAGAGAACAACTTACTGATGGGCACATAGCTCAGTGGTTCCCAATCCTGTATATGATATACATTTATTTCAAACCTCAGAGCAAGTACAAATCTTTTTCTGGTCACTAGAGTAATTCATTGTCATTGTAGAGCATTTGGAAAGTATGTAAGCACAAAAGGAAAATGAAATTCACCTGGAATCCTACTACTCATTATGACTCCTGTTACCATGTGGTGAAACTATAATTTTAGTATGTTTTTATAAATAGGGATCTTATTGTGCATATAGGCAAAAGAAATAGTTTCTACAATCAGAAACATATTTCATTTTCTTATGTCATTGATGCTGTGTAATTAATATCCACACATCTGTTTTTATCTATTTTAATTTTTTGTTGATTTCTATTAGTGCTTTAACGGGGAAAATCAAGAGCATATGCGTTATAAATATAACTGTATGATGTTTGTTTTGGCAATTTTGCCAGCTATTACGAAGCCTCTTTTTAAAAGACCTCACTGAAGACATAGTAGCCTCCCATGAAATATGAAGCACTTTGGTAGCTGCCAACAAGTGTTGAGTAGGCCCCTTGCAGAGAAGACTGAGGGTCTTACTTCTTGGAGCCTTTATGGTAAGGAACATTGGAACACTGGACATTGTTTGTCTGGGAATTAAGGAGATCTGAGCTCTAATTTTGACTCTGCCACTAAATCACCACTAACCTCATTTTCTTATCTAGATACGGAATTAGGGGGGTATTAGGAGAGGGAGAATATTTGAAATGATCCAAAAACTCATCAAAAACCTATTCTGATCTAGACAGAAGGTACAGGTGCTCAATGTTTTATATATTGGATGTTGCATGATTGAACAGCATATCCAGGTCAAAAAGTTCATGATACTAAGCAGTTATAGCTATAGCATTAAATTAACTGGAAGTGTGGTAAAGGGTAAAGGAAAAAGAAATTGTGTCAGCCCTTCTAAAAATGCTCTTCAGTGAAAAACACAACATAAAGTTCTCCTTTACAACTATAAATATTTGTAAATAGTCAGTAGATAACTCTAGGTCACTGGTTTGCTGAGGTTGGAGTCTTGACTCCCATTGACCCCTTCCTATCATAACATTCCTTTTTCTGTGCCTATCTTTTATTCTTTCTAATCTCATAGCAATGGGTCAACACAGGCCCATGGTAAATACCAAGTCTCAAGTAGGGCAGTTCATTATATTAAGGCTTTGAATTATAATATCTTGTACCCAATTCATATTCTTATTAAAGTAGTTACAGTTAATCCTTCCTGAACTACATCTGCTGTTAATTCCTTTCAAAATGGACTAGGAGAACAATTGTTATGTACATTAATAAGGTTTACTAATGAGACCTTTTTGGTTTGGGGGGGCTCAATTTTATGGAATGAAAGTTGGAGAATGACATTATTTGGCTCTTCAAGACCTCACAGACTAGATTATAAATGATACAAGGGACAGAGCTCTGACAAGGTCTCACAGTGATAAAGCACTAGGGCCAGAGGCAGGCAAAAAAATGTAAGAATCTCAAATCCCTGTCACAGAAACCTTTAAGTTTTCAAAACTAATCACATCCACACTTTCAGAATATGAGAGCGAAATTCCACTTTCTTAGCCACCTGCCATTTCCCCGCCACTGCTCCTGTGTTCACCTTCCTTAGATCTGGTTCCTCTTCCCTTCATTCAAACTGTTTATTGGTTTGCTTTGACCACTTAGAACACAAAGTCAGCAAGAAGTCTTTGAGGGGTGGGAAGAGACAAGAACACTCTAGGGGGATCAAGAGATTTTGCCTGGGAAGCGCATTGCCCTGCTATTCCGTTACTAGCCATAGGGAACTGGGGAAAAGGATTGGGTGTCAGATGAAGAGCAGACTGAAAGCAAGGAAGCACCAAGGGTCTGTTTTCTCTCTCTGGGATCTCTGGGGGCCTCTCTCTGAAAGATGTGGTGAAATATGAGGGCAAGTGACAAAGCACTGTCACATGTAATTTGAAGTTTGCCGGCAGGAGAACAGACTGAATGACACGTAAACCTTCCTCATTGGCACTTGGACCCACGTGCCACTTGTTTCCAAAAGCACAACCATAAACACCAACTGAGGACTTTTTAGAAAAGAACAGAGGACCAAGGACTTTACATGGAAGTAGTGGCCAGTTTATAGCCTCTCCAGGGAATAAGGCAGTGTGATAAGGGAGAAGGGCATTTAGAGAACCAGCCAAAAGCTCCATCTTCTTTTATTAAGTGTTCTGCTCACACCCATGAAAGTTTCTCCAAGACAGCTCCTGGCAGAGCCTTGGGAGAAACAAAAATTCAAGTTTCTGTCTAATAATGGAAAACAAAGAGTTAACTAGATGACTGCTAAAGCATGTCTTCAATTGCTCTTGGTCATACATCCCTATGAGGAAAATAATAGCAACTCCCAGCAGGGCTAATGTTCAGCTAGTACATTCTCGTACGGCCCTACCTATTGTTTGCATCTGTTCTAACTGGCCAGTACCCATTTAGGCTATCGTACTTCTGAAGGGGATTTTTGAAACAGAGTTTCCTCTCATGATTTTGCCCGAGATACACTGCTCATGGACAGGAAGGCCTCTTCCAGAGGGTCACTAGAGAGGTCTAGGGAGTCCACGTGAAGGAAACTTCTGTACTTGACATTTGACAGCCCATTGCTGCCGGTTCTTTAAGGCTTGACAAAGTTAATAAGCCACAGAAGACTTGGGGAATGTGTGCATATAAGTGAAAAAGACTATGTTTAAGCTCTAACTATGTCAAAAGCCACACAGCCAAAAGACGTCTAGGAAACTTCAAATAGCTGCAGGGACATTCTGGGTGGCTCCCCTGAACAGCACCTATAGTAGGTGGGGCGGCTGAGCAACAACAGCTGTGCAAAGTGGTTAGCAGTGACATCACTAAGTTTACCAAACCCCAGGGTGAGCCCCACATCCTACCTGGTTCCCTGAGATTTGGAAGCATTTAGTGTCTCTGGTCACATGGCTCTAACTAGTTTCCTGCTGCCTTTGCAGTCCAGCTCGTGGCTATTGGGTGAGGAGGAAAGCACCAGAGAACGAAGCCAACACCAGTCATTCGCCCGTTCAATCTGAGGGGTGAGTGTGAGAAAAGAATCATGAAAATGCAAGCGTTCTGATTCTAAAAGTGAAGATTAAATCCATTCCTATAAGCAAGTATAGGAGGATCTTGGAGGTTCACGATTCCTGCATGTCATCTCACAGTGCACGTGCAGCCCTACGAAGAGGCAGAGAGATGGGCTATAATAACCAAACAGCTTTTTTAGTTTGATGCACTGTTATCCAGCAATGAAGACCTGGTTCAAAATGTACACGAAACTCAGGGAGATGGGTGCCTTACAAAGTGGGCTGTATCATGCGATAACGAAAATTGCACAGATTTTGGGGCCAGGTAAACCTGGATACAGATCCCGGATCTGCCATTGAAGGTATATTCTGTGACTTCAATCAACATGGTTTCAGTTTTCTCATTTGTCAGACGGAACTAGTAATAGCACCTATTTACTAAGGTTTAATGGGGATTAACTAGAATACTGTATATAAAGCCCCTAGTACAAAGATCTGGCACAGAATAGGTGCTCAGTAAATGGTTATTCCTTTTCCCTCCACTTGGCCCTCATTTTTCCTTGGCTTCTTGGAGCGCAAGGGTTTAAGTCATAGACACTGACATGAGCCCAGGAAGGCCAGAAAATGAAGGGTGACTAAGCATGACCCTCCTTTTCTCCAGACAGTAGGTAAAAGATAAGCCATTGCTGCCTTGCGGGCTCTGAAAGGTTCTTCTATATCAATGTGGGGCACGTAGAAGGAGGTTAAAGTAAGTCACTTATTAAACCAGTGCAAGAGGCAGGAGGGAAAATGTAATGACTTCTCAAGTTTCCTTGGTCTTCTCTGTGCACCTTTGCTCTGAAGACTTCAGCCAGGTGGCTTGATAGGGTATGGGCTTGTCAGGGTTAGGGTATGCTATGGGAAGCTCAGCAGTTCCCCAGCTTCACCCCAAATGCCTAATAAAGATACCCACTCATGAAAACTCATAACGACTGATCAGAGAAGTCTAAGAATTGAGGACCTTAGCTAAAAATCTTTATGGGCAGCCTTTTGTGAGAATACTGAAGAGGAAAACCAAGAAAGAGGATGCAAGCAGCAGTGTCGCCAAGTAGGCTGCCCTACTTACCTTGCTTAGGATCAGTACTAAGTCTTCTCTCAGACAGACCTAATGGAGTAGCGGCGTAAAGCTCAGACATTACAAAGAATTTAGTTCAGAGAATAGCCGAAAGTTACAAATGCTTATCAGAGTCAAGTTGTTTCCCTAGCTCGACTCTGCAGGTGCTTTAAGGAATGCCAGGAAAAAGCAAACATGTTACAATCATGCCATATTTTATATGTAAAATTGGAATTTCCTATGTTGAATGTGCTTGAAGATCAATTAGAAATGATTTCTTTATAAAAAGCTTCACATCAGGATTTCGTCCAACAGTGTGTTTTAGAAGGGCTTTTCTCCATACGCAACTCCTCGTGAACGCACCTATTGG